CTGTCTCCCCATGTTAGGATGTCCCGCTGGTTGCCTGTTTTTTTAAAACACATGTTGAAACTAATTTAAACTACTTGGCTTTTAACCCACAATGATAGTGCTGTGTTCTTACTTTGTCTTCATCACTGTTTTTTATTGTTTTATTGCTGTGTCATGCTTTGCTGCTTCATACAGCACTTCATGAAACTCCTTTTGTTTTTTTTAAGTTAGATTAAAATATAATTGGATTGGATGTTTAATTATTTCACATTTCTGGTAGTGATGAACCCACTTCAACTAATTACAGTTCCCATGACATCCACAAACAAATTCAGCTCCATTCGTCTCTTTATTTTGGACTCACATCTGCTTTTAAACCACTCTCACTTCTCGCCTCAACCTGCTTTTCAGACTTGGCAGGTAGTTATTGTCACAGTTTAGTCGCCTGACAGCTGGTCTCAATAGCCAGTGTCACACTTAGTGATATACAATGAAAACAAACAGTTTCAAAGCCTGTTTCACCAGTTTGAGCAGGTGACCCATATTCTGGAGGCTCGAGTCTCCTTTCTGGTGCTTGGGTTTGAGTCTGCTTACTCACACTCCTTCTCCCCACTTCTGAGTGTATTGTGTGCACTTCTGTGTCCAATAAAGGACAAGATGCCCACAAACAAATCTTAATACAATCAAACTACTTGCTGGTGAACAGTGTGTTCACCAGCAAGTAGTTGGTGAACAGTGTGCACCAGCTACAACGGACAAATATGGGGAAGTTGGAGATAAAAGAAACAGCTAAACAAAGAAAATATCCAACTTGAGATCATCAAAAATAGTTGAAATAAATGCAGATGTTTCTCAGCGTAAACTAAATGCTTTATGTTTGCCATGTTGTATTTATAAAATGTTTGTGTTTTGGTTAATCCTGTAAAGAATGGACCATGATTTTTATTTTATTATTTTAACAGGAGTGTTTGTTGGACATCTTAACAAATGAAACAAAAATAATACAAATAATTCTTATTCTCATTTTTATGCAATTCCTTCATTTGTTTGTTTGTTTGTTTGTTTGTTTGTTTGTTTGTTTGTTTGTTTGTTTGTTTGTTTGTTTGTTTGGGGGTGGGCACAGACAGGGTTAAAGTCTATTACATTGAATTTTTTTTTTACTTTAATACATCAGAAGCTAATGTAACTTATAATTAATGAAGTCAGGATTCCATGGAGGCCGGTCAGGTTCTTCCTGTTTATTGCTGTGTTTTGTGCATGGGAGTATTGTGGTGCTGAAACAGGAAAAGACTTCCCTGAAGTTTCTACAAAGCTGGAAAGATAAATAGCCAATGTGTAAATAGCCTTGAATGCAGTGACACTAAGAGTCTTTAAATGCTACTTGTGCATCTTTAAAAAAAAAACAAAAAAAACATGGGCTATACAAACTGCCTGGAATGACTGAAAATAAATCAATGCGGGAAAACAAATATACTCACACTTTTGTCTTTTGTTGGATTTTATTGATGCTGCAAAATAAAGTGTTACATAATGCAAATTTCTTTTTCTTTCCTTTTTTTTTTCTCAGTACTACATAACTGGAGCTGTAAACAGATTCATCAGGCCACAGCCCGCTGACACTGTCAACAATGACCCAAACACAAATCAGGAATCTGCAGCTGAAATCAAGCACCCTCCCTCTGACTCAACAGAGGGTGACAGTAGCAGAGAAGGTGTCGAGGAGGAGCAGCTTGTCGCAACATCCTCTCTGCTGAGCTCGTCTCGCCCCGTTGTCGAATGGGAACTTTGCACCACAGAAATCGAGTTAGGGGTTGATGAAGAAAACATGCAGTACAAATCCCAGCTGAGAAAAGTCGACGAGAGCAAAGAGGATGGTGAGGGCAAGAGAGAGGACAAGACAGGAAATGATTCAAGAGCAAAAGAAGACAAACGACAGACGATGGAGATCGAAAAAATGCCCACTTGTGCAGGACTTGCAGGGCCTGGAAATGATGAACATGAACATGCCGCTTCTGGACCCCAAAATTTTTCCGAGGTTGCAACATGCCAAGAAACAACTGAGGAGGAGACTGATGCTGAGAATGCAACGGTGAGATTAGGGTTGCCCGGTGATCATCCAACAAAGGAGGAAAAAATTAAAGAAACCCAAGTAAAAGGAGAAAAGGATCAAACGCATAATAAAGAGAAGGAAGACCTTGAAGCAGAAGACTCTGAGAGAAAAGAAGAAGATGATGATAAACTGTGCAGTGAAGATGAGCGAGAGTTAAAAGCAGAAAACACTGAGGTAAAAGCATGCATAGCTGCAGGTATAAGTCCAGATGATATGGATCACATGCAGAAAGGAGAGTTAGAGGTACAGGAGCATGATGCAGTGTTATTGGATGATCTTTCAGGAAGGGAGGAACTTGTTAAAGAAACCCGACTGAAGGAAGAAAATGCTAAAGCAGATCATGAAAAGGAACAAGATTTAGTAGCAGAAGCCACTGAAGTAACAGAGGAATATAACAACATGCACTGTGATGATGACAATTTGGTAGCAGAAAACAATGCGTTCAAAGTATGCATGACAAAATGTCCAAAAGAGGAGGATTACGTACACGAAGGGGAAGGAGAGGTACAAAGGATTGATGCGGTGACACCAGATCATCATCCAAGAGAGGACCAAATTATCAAAGACACCCAAATAAAGGAAGAAGATGATACATTTCATCATGAAGAAGAGCGAGATTTAGAAGCAGACACAGAGATAAACGTGTGCAGTATCAAAGATATAAGTCCAGAAGATCAGGCTCATACGTACGAAGGAGAGGCAGAGGTACAGAAGAATGATGCAGTGACACTGGATGCTCATCCAAAAGAGGATAAAATTACTGAAGAAACTCGATTAGAAGAAGAAGATGATAAAATGCAGCATGAAGATGAACAAGATTTGGAAGCAGAAGACACTGAGATAAAAGTGTGCATAACTACAGATATTAGTCCAGTAGTGGATGATCACAAGCAGGAAACAGAAGCAGA